GAAGTTACGTAGTTGCTTCGCCTGTTGGTGAAATCGGTAACAAATCACCCTACTTATTAAATGTCATTCTTTGATAAATCAGTATCAACATTTTCTCGATCGTCTTCAGTGTAATAATGATGGAGGTCAACAATTATAACCATTCTTCAATGAATGTTATGTTTTAATTAAATATAGTAAAATATTTTTATTAATTACCTTCTAATGTGTAAATAGTCTGAATGTACAAAAGATGTAGAATACACACTGCATCATTTGAAATTAGTATGTCGTAAAAGCAGCAAACAAGTTAAACATAAAGTTACTTGAAATTAACAACTGAGCTTCAACCAGTTGTTCTGCGTAAAGTCAATTTACTGGTATAAAGATACAGTAAAACAATCAGAGCAATACTGAATCATAAAATGTCAATGACGACCATAGTTTTATATCTCTTATTTAATAATTCAATGTCACGGACATAAAAATACAGGGTTTGTCATCGAACGCAACGGTATTAAACGCCCGTGCCGTGTCATTATTGTCTCATCATAGACAGTCATCTGGTCATTGTACCGCTCAATTTAAATCAGTGTTCAATACAAATATTTTATTACAACAGGTTTCTATAAGAGCAACATATAATGGGACACATTGATATTATTGCCCAATATGTAATAATGGGATAATCACGTGTTATATTCAACAAGAAAACTATGAAATAATATCGACGGCGGTCATGCCAAGGTGAAGTATGTTGATCGCGCATGTGTCATTGTTGGTTCTGATGAATTGCTAATACTTCATGTGCTGGTCATAGACATATCATTAATATATGTGCCAGGTATCTGCCGGAGTTGTCAGCTGAAATAATTCGTTATCGTCAACTACCGCAGAAGATACCGTTTTAAGACCACATAGTGTCATCGTTAGTTTCACTACACACAGTTTTTATTTTCATTTTAGTACCAATAGCCCATAACATTTAATGAGTAAACGAACGAGTTTATTCTAAGGGTCGTACTTTTTAAACAGGTAGGTTAAAATAAAATGATTGCTTGATAACAAGAAATATAAGTACTACCAATAATCGAATAATAATGGTGTTCGGTTGTGTTCTAAATACAATAGAAAACATCGATTCATTTATTGAAAATAACAAAGCCACTAAAACAATGACGGCAGTTTTAATATATTTTATATTGGTCAAATTGTCTGGGTCTCATAACATGAAAAATAAAGAGTTATTTGTCATTAAAGCCACCAACTCATACTTCAAACAAATGGGTAAATTATTATGATGGGGATGAAATCCGATTCTTCGAAAATCACGAACTGATTTTCTACTGGATTGCTTTAAATCCGATTTTGGGATTTGGCATGAAACCGGATTATCGATTTCAAAATCCGAAATTGGGTTTGAATATCAGCCTCGTGTTCTAATCATAAGCGGGTCCGGTTATTTAGTCGTTCTTTGTCGGACAAGAGGCGGTTCAAATAAGACATATCAATAATAGAACATTAGTTCACGGAAACACATTTTTGGCGACAAGACACGTAATACCAACTAAATGGTAGACATGTATTTTTATGATATCTTATCTATATGCTAATATTACACAAAATGCGCATTTACTTGTTTGACAGTTGCATTATTAGTTAAAACATCGATATCAACATTTTGTACATAGCCATATAGCTATTTTCATTCAATACGTACAAAGAAAAACACATTGCATGGATAGTCGTGCTTGCAGACTTTAGCAGTATGCTTCAAGTTTAACTCATTCGCGATAAGAGTCAGCGCCAGTAATAAAGCTACTGACAGTACTGATATACTTATTAGCAGCACAACATCAATCTGTTTAGTTCTACTTTGAGTGGTTGCAGTAATATGGCAGTATATCCATTAGTCTATTTAGTTTATAGCAGCTAATTTCAGATTGTTGATGCAGAGGTTTTAGTGACGTGGCATAAAATGAAAATATACTGATTGTCGGATATGTGGCATTAAAATATAGTTTTATTTATTTCAGTTTAAATTATTATGTACAGGTGATGGAATGAATAAAATGAGAATGAGATATTACCATTGAAATATGTTGCTGTTACTTTTATTAAACTTATTTTTACTGAATAGAATGATTATTATAGTGTGTTGGGAGAGGCGGCGGCCTTGTTTTTCTAAAATGATATAATTGAGGGCAAAATTGAGTTACAAGGGAGAAATCAAAAGTATTTATTTACTATTATATTGTTCTAATAGTTATAAAAAGTATGATATCGTAATAACATATGTTGAAGTCGTTAAAACTAAAAATACATTTGGATTTACCAATTTTTACACAAACCTTCACAATTAACGATATACATACATAGTATATATAGTATAAGTATATAAAAATAAATTGCAGTCATTGTATGATGTATCTTATGGTTTGTCGCAGTTTGTATAATCTTAATTTTTTTTTTGCCGCAGTTTACATATCGACTTTTGAAAAGATAAATTTTGCCGCAGTTTACCATCTCCCAACACGCTATAATATTAAATATCATTCTATTTAATTAAATAAATTTTAATAAAATTATCTGTAACTATTATTTCAATGGTAATATCATTCGATATTTTCATAATCATTTTAATTTCATTACTCCCATCACTATAGTTAAGTCGTACTTATACGTAATGAGAAATTTTAAAATTTTAAATGAATAAAATATAATTTTAATTACCTTTTGCCGTCCATTGGTGGTGTATTATTTTCATTTTGTCACGCATTAAAATGTGTCCATAAAGATGATGTAGATCCATTGTTCATCAACTCAAAATCACAAATTAAACACTTCGCCGATTCATTAGATTTATTACGTTTAAAATACTGCCATATTTTACTGCGAGCCATGATTAAAATTAAGAACTAGAAATAGTTGTTGTTTGTTTTGAATAGTGCTTATCGAGTACTGCAGAACGCGTAGGTATCTTGTTACAACACATATTGTTCACAATGTTATCGCAAAGATAGAGTTTAAACTTAGAAGCATACTATAAAAGTCTACAAACTTTATTTATCAATACAAGTGTGTTTTTCTTTGTACGATATTATAAATAGATATAGGAAAATATATATAATATATACAAAATGTTGATATCAGGTGTTTTAATAATAATACAACTGTCAAACCCAATTAGAATTTCATGCACACGTTTGTGTAATATTAAATATATAGGTCAGATATCATAAATACATCATACATTTTAGTTAGGTATTATTAGTCGTATCGCCAAAATAATGGTATACGTGAGACTTGAAATGTTTACCAATTATTGATATATCTTATTTAGACCACCATCATCTGTCCGATAATTAAAAGAACGACTAAAAATGGCATAATGAAAGTTATATGATTAGAATACAGAAATTGCAATGATAAACCAAATTTCGGATTTTGAAATCCGATAATCCGGAGTTTCGAATACCAAAATCCAAAATCCGGATTTAAAAGCTCGAAATCCGAAATCAGAAATCCGGATTCGACGGATTTTCGAAGAATCCGGATTTCATCCCCATCACTAATAATAATAATAACTTGTTTTCAGTACTTATGAATTTACCTGATTTGGTTTAGAAGACTAAACTAAATGTAGGTTGGTTGAAACAATGTCATTCATTTCAATATCTTTTATTTTTTTCATGTTATGGTTAGACTATAATTTACATTAATATAAAATATAATAAAACTACCCGATCAGTTGTTTTAATTGGCACATTGTCACCATTTTCAATACATGAATCAGTGTTTTCCTCTATTGTATTTAAATTTGTAGACACAGTATTATTCAGTTAATTTAATTGAAACACTTATATTTCGTGTTATCAAACAGTATCCAATTTTATTTTAACCTACCTGTTTAAAAAAGTACGATTATAAAGTCTATCGTTTCGTTTTACTCGGTTCTAACTTTTCCATGTTAATAGATATTAATTACTAAAAATAAAAAATAAAAACTGAGATATTGTAAGTGGTAACAAATACAATGACATACTATTACAATATTGACAATTAATACAAACAGTATGTATTTCGCAAATACTTAGTAGTTGATAACTGATAACTGGATATTTCAATTTTCTAATAGCATCCAGCCAAGGTGGATATATAGCATATAGCCATATTCGTATTATGTCTATGATAGCACATAGAGTAATTACTTAATTCATAGAATAGCAATTATTTTATGCGCGAATCAAACATTATCACTGCCGTAACGCTGGCCGTTAGTCTGATATTATTTCCCTCGTTTTTAATAATTTGTTATCATTATAACCTACGTAGTTATCAATTATTACATATTAGATAATATCTAATATCAAATATCAATCCCATTATAATATTTATATTTTATAATTGAAATTTTCAGATACAATTTGTAAATATTAAAATATTTTGTAATATTGAACACACTGATTTAAATTGAGCAATTTTAAAATAATAGGTAATAT